GCCCGCTCCAGCAGCCGTGTGAGGAGCCGGGACTGCTGTCAGGCTTCTCCCTGTGCAGCTGGGGTCTGGCGGGCAGGGACGGGGCTTTCTGCCCCTCCATGTGACTTGTCCAAAGCTCAAAATGTCCGGAGAGTTTTTGTTTTCGCCCTGTAATTGCACAGCCCTCTGTGAGCTAGTGGCAACTCCCAGCTCCTCCTCGAGCAGGTAGCGGCTGGTTGGACTCCCAGCTCCTCCTCGAGCAGGTAGCGGCTGCTGGACAGTCCCAGCTCTAGCGGGCACGTACCCACGCACATCCTGTCCCCAGGCACCAGCCCCATGCACGGGCTGGGAGCTTCCTCATGGAGAAAGTCCAGCTGACATTCCCCTCCTCTGACCAGGGGAGAGAAGCCGCTCTGTCCTGGTCATCGTCACCAAGAACGTGCCGCATCAATAAATAACCCTCGTCTCAGCCTGCGTCGCTCCTGGGCTCAGGTCAGCAAGCAAGCGGGAGGTCCGAGTCATCCCACGCCGTGACTCTCCTTGCTGCCCTTGCGGTTTTCCTCTGAGGCTTCACTGTACAATGAGAACAAGACCAGCTGCCCCGGTTTTATTGCTAAGTCCAAGTGAAGTGGCTTTGGTTTGCGTTATGGGGCTCCTCTGGGGATGGGGAGGGATGGGGACTGGGCTGGGGGGAAAGCAAAGGGTCATTCTTCACTGGCTGACTCTTGGAGAAGGCGATGGATCTCCTGGAAGGAGGGACGATCTTTAGTGTCCCGTCTCCAGCAGCTGAGCATTAGCTTATAGACTGAGTCAGGGCAAAGTGCGGGCTGGGGAAGGTAGGTCTTCAAAACAAAAGGCAAAGATGACAAAGGGAGAGAGTTACTACCACGGAAACAGAAAACCAAACCGCTCCTGGGGAGCCCCATTTCTCCATGCACTGGGGTGAGGGGCTGTGCTGCTGTGTATTCAGGGGCTAGGGGCCCCCCAGAAGACACACTGGGGGGGCCAGGGACACCTGCTCATGTCTCCCAGCCCAGCTAAATGCCGGAGCGGGGGCCAGCAGGCAAGCGGTGCCCTGGGCTGTGTAAAGTGCCGGGTTTGCCGTGCCAGGCCCTTCACCAGGACTCCTTCCCAGAGGAGTTCCTGTCCTATAATTCCCCCATAGCCAAGCTCCCTGTCTGGTCACCTTAAAGTCTTTCCCCAGGTCCTTGGTGTCCCAGGTGTACCACTACCTATCCCATCCCATCCCGCCTCATCCCGCCTCATCCCGCCCCATCCCATCCCATCCCACACCATCCCATCCCATCCCTACCTGCCGGCCCTGGTCCCGGAAAAACTCGCCGGTGTTTTCAATGACCTGCTCGTCGGACAGCTGGGAGTAGGGCTGCTCCCGGCAGAGCGTGAAGGTCTCCCACAGCGTCACGCCGAAGGCCCACACGTCACTGGCTGTCGTGAACTTGCCCTGGCCAGAGGCAGCAGAGCAGGGTCGGGCATGGGCACTACCCCATCCTGCTCCATAAGCCCTAGGTGCCCAGCGTTCAAAACGTCTTTCTGGATGCTTCGGCTTCCAGATCTGGGCCCAGAGCGGGGCTTGGTCACACAGACCTGCTCTCTGCCCAGGGCCAGAACCTGGCGAGCTCCAGGGCCAGCTTGCAGCGACTGCTCTGAGAGTAGCAGAGCAGTTGCTCTCCGTGCAAAAAAGTAACCCTGCTCCCTCTTCCAGGTC